GATAATACGCACCAGCTGTTTGAAGGGAGATAATAACATTTACCAACAGCGTTCCTCCTTCCTCACTGGTAGCAGCCCCTTCCTTCCTCCTGAACAAACTCCAATTGGTTGATGTGTTGTTTATTTGAGAGCTGACACAGAATGCTGATTTATCTGTGCTCTGCTCGGGCGTAAAACTTTACAAGCTCCAAGTTTACCAGAACTCCATGTAGGATTAAGAAAATTAGGCATCACAAGCAGAAAATTGCATATGCAAATAAGGAGCAGCACAGTTACAAAACAATGGTGCATTTCATGATTTCAGGTCAATAAATGTACTCGTTGCACACTTCTATGCTAATATCCAAAGGCATCGTTTTTGAAAACTTGTGCAAAGGGTAATGTGTATTTCACATTTTCAACAGAAGCAATAATATACTAAAAACTATATACTAGTGCATACAGTACTGTGAAAAAATAGTATGTGCACCAACCATTTTTAAGGAAGGAACACATTGAGAAAAAGCAAAGGTATGCCAAATTAAAACTGAACTGAAAGTCCGTGGGAACAGGTTTTATGGAGGGATGAAACCAGATTTGAAATCTCTGATTAAAGAGAGACACATAACAGAAAGCCATCTGTAAAACACGGCAGAGGCTCTGTAATGGTTTGTAGCTGTGTTTTAGCCAGTGGTGTTAGGTATCTTGTCAAAACCAAAGGAAATGCAAACACACCAAAGGACCATTAGAGTTTGAGTCGCCATTTAAAAGCATATAATTAGCAATTAATTCATTTTTCAGCATGTCAACAATCCCAAACACACTAAACACACCTCAGCTATACTGAAGTAGTTTGAGAGAAAAAGGTAGGCAACATGCAAAGAACTGTTTTGAATATGCTTCAAGAAGTCTGGAGAACTATTCCTGAAGACGTAAATTACAACGACGGTTGAGGGTTAGGCGTTCATTTTTGATGGTTAGGGTTAGGGTAGGCTAGGGAAAGCGTTATATCAATTCAATGTCTTAACTAAGAGATAAAAAAGTGTGTGTGTGTGTGTGTCAGCACTAATTTGTTAGTTAAAACCTGGAGAACGAACCAAAATACTGTAATACTAGCTTGACAACCTACCAGATAACATGCCTCTTATAGTGACTACACTGACTACAAAGACCACTTCTTGTCAATGACAACCAAGTAAACATGGCTGACTGTTGTACCATTAAAGTATTACACTAATCTGTTGTTTTTATTTTTTCACTGATGAAAAAAAAGAAGAAGCGGTAAATCATCTCAATTAAGAAACTCAAACTGAAGAATATCTGGCATTTTTCCACATAAAATTACTAAAACGATTCTTATTACTGCATCTGTCAAAAAAGTGAAAAATATAACAGGTTAACACTATGATTTAATCTTGGGCTTAGGTATTGCGTATCTGCATGTCTGTCTCTGTCATGAGGGGAGTGGAGCTATGGAAGGCCTGCCCTCGTCTGCCATCCATAACAAAATAAACTGCACGGCTTGAGCAACAAAACATGATTGTGAGCTATCAGCTCACTATGTTCCTATTAGCAGACACTTTGTTTATTATTCCTAACAGTTAGCAAAATGAAACGCTTTTTTGTTGCAGCTGATGCTGGCTCTCTGATTACTGATGGATAAGTCACAAAATTTAGGTTAACAAAATGACATCTTGAACCAATTAATCCTTTACCCTTCAGCACAGCTTTCTGATAAATTAAAATTGTAAATGACATGTCAGAAAAGCTGATTATGTGGCCCAGTGTGTGGCTTTGTTTGTTTGAACAACCATATTAATAATTGCATCCAGCATATGGATGCAATTATCGTTACGATTTTTGACTCCTGTGGCATTTGTTTTGCTTTTTTTTTCGTGCACAGATTCATCAGAAAATTCTCTGACACGTTAAAATTTCTCAGGCTCACCTTTTTGTAGATGAATGATGTCAGGGAAGTTGGCGAGCAGGCCTTGATAGAGCGACAACTTATCCAGCATGTGGAAGAGGTCATACTTAGGTTGCTCTGCAAACAGCTCTCCAATGTTCTCATAGGTGCGGCCAGTATGGGAGATGGCATTGTTGAGTCCATCTGACCTATAAGGAGGGTCCAACGTGAATGCGTGGCTGATAGACTGGAAGGCATTTCCAAGACGCTGGAACTCTTTCCTGAATCCACCCAGGTGTTTGCGCACCAGCTCCGAGGCGACGTGTGTGAGCTGCATCACGCTGTCGTCCATCTTCCTGGCAAAGGCCTTGAAGTTGTCGACCCGTTCCTCGACGTCCTGAAGGTCCTGGTGCTCTTTGGGGATTTGAAGGGTTAGCATGAAATGCGCGCCCACCATCTCGTCCTTCTCCGCCCTTCTCTTGCCCAATTTCCACTGCTTGTCATCGGCACACATGAGAAAGTGCTCAAAGCCTTCATATTGGGAAAGGACTGGGTGACTGGTCATGTGGTTCATCCACAGTATCAGTCGCCTCTTGCGCTTCTCAATGAAGTCTTCCTCGAACCGCCCCGTGGCCTGCTTCTCGGGCAGGTGAGGCACAGAGATCACAGTGAACTTGTGAAGCAGGCGGTTGTACAGCCAGTCAAAGTGTTTGTAACGTCTGTAGACGGGACGCCCTGTGTGACTTGGTGTCACCCGGTATGAAATGTAGGTCTTGATGCCCTTGAACTTTGTCTGTTTGGTGGGATCCTCAATGGAGCAGGAGAAAGGCTTTGGATTCTCCTTCCACCGGGGCCCCAGGGGACCCATGTCAATGGAGTAAGTCTCAGCTATCTTTGCCATCATGGGGACATCACCCAACACAAATGCTTCTACCCCTGAGCGGACAAAGCTGGAAAATCTGTTCAAGTTCCTGCCCACCATACTGCCCTTCCTAGAACTGGTGATGCTATCTTGTCTGGATGCCGGCTTGGGTCGATAGTGCACATTGGGATTGTTGGTCATCGGGTTCTCAGGGGCATGTCCATTGGCTCCAGGATTCCTGGTGTGATCAGCATCATCCACAACAGTGGACCTGTCATCCCAGTCATCCCAGTCATCATAATCGTCATCATCATAATCATTCTGTGGATAATGGAGCGAGGTGTTTGGAGTGGAGAAGTCCTTTCCTAAAGAGCCTGCTGGGCTTATGGAGCAGTCGGTAACATTAGAGTTGGAGCGACTGCGTATAATTTCCACATAAGATGCAGGGAAGATACCCCTCTCTCCTCGGCTGTTCTCCCCCTGAAACCAGCCGTCCACTGAGTTCTCGTCAAAGATAATCAGGTCCTCATTCTCCTGGATGCTAATCTCCCCATTGTTTTCGCTTAAAAAAGTATAGAGGGCTTTGGCTTTCACTGACATCTTTGATTACTCCCGTGGCTGCGAAACCAGAGAAATCTACATGCACATAGTGCTTAGATTATATCGATGCTGCTGTCTCGGTGCATGCCACATTGGAAACATTTGACACTAGCTCACTGTAATATTTAAACTCATATCAAATGGCATCGCAGCTGTTCGATCGTGTGTGCCACAGCACAATATGGCCTATGTAAATTTAATGATCTGACACTAAATAAACACAGAGCTTGTCAAAAGTTACATAAAACTATTACTTCTATCTGCCAAAAATAAAAAGTCTGAAACAGGCCTAGGGTAACAATTAGTATACTCAGCCCATTGAGGCTGTTGATCTATTATTGCATTATACTAGCAGGTCTAACAAGAACTTTAACCTACAAAAGATCTGTAACACAATAGGCCTCTCAATACAGAAGGACCCCGTGCCTCCTTTCTCATCACAAACACAACAGGTTCAAAACCAAAGTGTTTTCACCGAAGAGCTCCTCCAAAAGCGCCGACGGTCGTTTTAAAATCCTCTCAAAGTGGGTTTCAGCCTCGCTGTTAACTTATTGTACAATTGTGTCTCATTACCGAGCTTTAAAACCATCCGTGATGGGACTACTTCCAGGACAAAGTGGCCCGGTGTGAAGGAAAAACAGATGGATGAGTAATGGTATCCCTGTACATTTTTAAACGCCGCATTCCCTCACACTGAAACTTGCTGCGTGTTCCTTGTAAACAGGTTCCTGCGCATCTTCAGTCGATCCTTTTTGGTTTCAGCAAAAGCAACAAAGCAGAAAACAGCCAAAAACAATCCGCGCCCACGAAGTATTAGCACACGCCACGAGCCGCTGCTATTTCTTGGAGTTTATTCCTTTGCGAGCGGCAACAAAGTAACTCTTTCCATGACGTGCGGTCAGACAATTGAAGGCAACTTCGCCTTTTTTTTCATCAGCTCCTTTATATTGTTTGGAAGAGGCGGAGCAGGCTCGATGCCGCCCCCTCCAGGAGGGAAGGAGCATTACATACACAGAAGATTACAACATCCAAGCACAATTTATGTCGTGGTTTACCAGGCATATTATAGTTTTGTATTTTCGAGTTAGTTTATTTGTTTTGGGGGGTTTTGTTTTGTTTATTCTTGTATATTTTTTCTTGAATAATGAAAATAAATACCAGGTTTCTGAAAATAATGACAAAACTATGAACTCAGAAAGCCAACTTAAATTTTAAAAAGTATAAAAAAGAATAATAAATTATACTTTACGCTATAGTTAAGCTTAATGTTGGCCATAATTACGATTTAGTGTATTATTAGTACTACTATTATTACTACTATTAAATATAGTCTTTATAATTTAGGAAACTTACTTCCTATTGGCTACCACAATAACGCTGATATGATATATATTTCAAAGCTTCAACAAATTCTTAGACATAAGGTGTTAGACTATCCAACCGAGCAACAATGTAGCCGTAATAGTCTCATTTAAGTGCTGCGTTTAAACTGAATTTATATACAGTACATGTTTATGTGGCTTCCTTTATACTTTTTAACTTCCCTACATTTAAACGTTGTTGTTTTTACCCTACTTTATTTATTTAACACGCTTAGCACCGTCAGATTTGCTAGGATAACTTTGAGAGTGTTTTGTTTTTTGTAATAGTTCCACATAAGTGTACGATATCATTTCTATCGTGTGAAAAAACAAACTCCGGGTTAGGTTGAGCTTTTTTGTCGGCCAACTGAAAAACGCCACCCGGCAAAAATGATGACAGCGTGACGTTTCGGCAGCATCCTCCCTGAATGTCCAAGGTATCTGTTTACGCTAGCTTTGTGAAAACTAACATCTCATAAAGTTTACTGCGTTTGAGTCCAGTATTTGTTTATAGTTTGTACGAAAGCACGTTTTTGTTGCAAAACGCGCTAGGGTCAAAGTTCCTAACTGCTTGCATAGTTAGCAACCACAGCGTGCTAGCAGGTTTAGCGCGATGCAATGCTAGCAGCTAAGCTATGTGACTGGCCAGTTGTAGTAGTCCGTAATAGGAGGCTTTTCTGGCCTTTTTCCGCGAAGTACAATCTGGACAGATGCCCCACTAGACTAGGGCGTTTGGTGCTTGATTATATTGGTATTGCCTGTGCAATATTAAGCTTAAAATAAAATAAAAAATCCCGTCAATCAGCACATGTTTGTCCTAGTTAAGTGTGTAAATGATGTACAAGCAAAGTCACTTGTACCCGCACTTTCTATAGACGATATTTGATTTAGAGTACATAAAAGGATGATCCTAAGCTCTCGGTGATCGTGGGGGGCAAATTGGACTGGATGTTAACATTGCTACTAAAGCTGGTTTATAAAGGTCAAATAATCAGCCATGACATACTTAATATGTAGAAATTAGCTGATGAATTATTAAGGATGTACAGATTATGAAGAAGTATTCATAAGTAGTCACGTCATTATTAAGATCATGAATATGTAAAACGATTACTCATGGGCTTTGGAAAAATAAGAGTTTAATTTAGAAACGAAATCCTCAAACTTTAATTATAAATACGTTAAAGATATAGTGTTATGTGTGAAGTCAACTAAATCTGCCACTGTGTGGTGGGGAGTTGGACTGAGATCTGTGGTCTGGTGATATTTTTAAAAAGCAGCTACAAATTCGTCTTTACAAACTTGCTTATGGGTAACTTTTTGTTGTTATATTTTTGGCATTTTGTTATGAAGCACTTTTTGATATTTGCCTTGAAAGGTGCTGTAGAAAAATGTTTTAATTTACTTTAACTTTACTTTTATGCTGAGGCCAAATAATGTGCCAAAGGGCAAAACAATCGTGACCATAAATCGAAAGTGGGACACTAGTCATATTATTTCATATAGTTTAAATAAGTTGCTACAATCCAACATTGTAATTTAAATGAACATTCAGAGATAGGTAGATGTGTCCCTTTTTCAAGGGAAATCGAGACATCGAAACTCTTTCCACTCTTTATCACACTATCTTTGAACACATGCTGATAGGCCTGAATCATTCAATATGGCTTAAATTTAAATGCGCAACCAAACTGTCAGAAGATATCTGCAGTAAATTAAAAGCACATAAACACTGGTGCATCTCAACAAACACTGAGCATTAGAATATAATGACTACGTTGAAGTACATATTGTTAATCTTTCAAGCTAACCTGTACAAGAGCTCTAGCACACAGAAACAGATAAGGCACTGGGTTGCCTGTAGTCTTAATTCTCAGACCTATTAACCACTCTTCCTTGTAATATAAAATAAGTACTGGGGTGTTGATTTTCAGTGCCCTCATGGATGACCTGACCCAAGCCCTCTCGGCCAGCTTTGCTGTGTCCAAGGAGCCCAACAGTACAGCCTGCCCCCACCCTCGGCTGGCCCAGTACAAAAGCAAGTACAGTGTGCTGGAGCAGAGTGAGCGACGGCAGCGTTTTCTTGATTGGCAAAAAAGGTAATCATCCAGCTCATTATTTAACATCTACATAGTCTTACCTGACAGTTTATTAGGTACATATTTCCTGGACCCTCTTTGATATTCCGAACTGCTTTAATTCCTCATGGCACAGATTCAACACGGTACTGCAAACAGTCCTCAGAGATGCTCTACACTAACATGATTGTGTCACACAGTTGCTCCAGATGTGTTGGCTTTGTCCAGGAGACAAATCCTCTTCACCACTGTGAAGGTCATTTGAGTACAGTGAACTCGTCATGCTCAAGAAACCAGTTTGAGATGATTCTTTATGACATGATGTGTTACCTTGCACTGTGTCATCAGAAAATGAGTAAACTGTGGCCATAAAGGGATGAACATATTCATCAAGAACACTCGGGCAAGCTGTGGCGTTTTACATGCATCAGTTGGCACTAAGGGGGAAGGAGCGTGTCAACAAATATCCCCCATACCATCACAGCCCCAACTCAACTCAGATGTATTTATAAGGCTTGTTTTGGTAAATGTGAAGCGTGGGACACTTCGAAGCATCTGATCAGCTCACCAGAGGGACCTGGGAGCTGAATAGGGTTGTAAGAGGTCAGAGATGTAGGAAAGAGCCAAACCATGAACGGCTTTTCTTCTTCTTAAGCTAAAACAGGTGTAAAACACTATATGTTTACACTGCACCATGCGAAAGCATCTCAGTGACTCTTTTTCCATTTCTTATTTTAGTAAAAGGTTAAACTATGTCAACCATGCACGGCGTCTGGCTGATGGGGATTGGACGGGGGCAGACAGTGATGGGGAGGAAGATATGGAGAAACAGGAGGATGGAGAACGAGCACAAGATGGCAACACAGAAGAGGAGGAGATGGAGATCGAGAGGAGGAAGCTGCCAAAACATTATGCAAACCAGGTCAGTGTTTGATGCATGGACATTGCTGTGTGAAGTTTTGTTGTATTCCTGTCTTTTCCAGCAGAGGGCGCTTGAGTCCTAAAGTTACAACTCCGGTCTGGAGAATAGAGCAGCCAGATCCCAACAAACAAAGCATGGAACAAAGAGTTTGTTTGTGTGGGAAAGTTTTTATTTCCGAGTCTGAAAGAAAAGTGTCTTTTTTTGGTGTACTAACTTCTGAATACTAAAGCTAGCTAAAATGTGGCATGACAGTCTATTATAAAGTGGGGCTCCTGGTCACCAAACATGAAACTCTGTAATAACTCACACTGTTGTGTTCATTGTCATTGTCATTCTTGTAGGCTTAAATAAAGTTTTGATGAAGGTGACATGTCCCCTTTCCTCCTCAGCTCATGCTATCAGAGTGGCTAGTGGATATACCATCAGAGCTGGACACTGATTGGCTGATGGTGGTCTCCCCTGTGGGCAAAAGATCTCTGATTGTTGCATCTAAGGTAGGAGCCGTTCCTCTTTTCTTTGCCTCCATGTTGATGCCTGTTTCTGAATTTCAGAATCTAGCGAGTAACTTTAAAGTCATCTTTTTAAACATTCCTTTTTTGTAGTCACTATTCACAGCGATGACTGAAACAGAAGGCTTACTGATTTCTGAATGTTTGAATCATCAGATTGTCATCTTCCAGTCCTGATCAAAAGTTGTATCAGTCTTTGAAAAGCAGCAGTCAGTATTTCCTGCAGTTTGAGTGCAGTGCTAAAGTGAGTGTGTTTGGAGAGGATTGTTGTACTTTGCATCTGTTGCTTTTTATTTCAACGCTGCCTTTGTGGTATTGCAGAGGACGATGTGGATTGTGTCTGTGTTTGAAATGAGCCACCTTGTCAGAGCTACACTGCCCAATATCTTAATAATGTGGGCAAACAGTTTGAGAGAATTTTCCTCGAGCTGCGATAAAGAGTCACAGTCAATAGATTAGAATCAGTAGATTAAATTAGAAAGATGGCTGTGTGCTCCAGAAATGATTAAAAAAAGCAACACGGAGGTTTTTAATATGTGTCATCCTTATACCACTTTTCTCCATTTAGAAAGTGAAAAAATAAAGCGAAGAATTTGGTTTAAAAGCTAAAAAAAATACCTACAAAATAATCAGAAGGGATCTTCTTGAGCGTTTTTTGGTGGTTTTCCTCTTTAAACTTGTGGCAGCGTGCTGATTTTGAGCTCAAGTAGGTCATCGGTACAGGTCATCCGTCTATCATCACCCAATTTGCAAGTTGAGCTGACTGTGTTGTGTTTGCATTGTCATTCATTTAACTTGCCAACTAGGGATGGGAATCGAGAACCAATTCTTGTAGAACCCTTTCCCAGTAGTCCAATTCCTTGGAATTGTTTGTCTGCATATCGATCCTGCTTATCAGTTCTTGCACTCACAGCTGATTTCAGTTCATGTGTCAGAGGAGGGAAATAGCAACGCAGTCCATGGCATGGATATAGACATATTATTTTTATTGCACAAAAGGACAAGATAAAGGTAAAGTGCAAACTGCACCAAGGATAGAAACAACTGCATTATGCTGCTTACACAACTTCGGTTCTTTGCAAGCATCTTCACAGACAGCATGCTAACGCTAAGCTAGCCAAGAACCCAGAGTGAAAGCTGAGCAAATGCCGACCCCAGCAGCCAGACCCTGAACTTCAACAGGTAACGAGCAGATGAGCAGTCAGGCTGCAGCCTCTCTTGCTACCTGTTCCAGTTTCTAAAGCAGAGTCACTGTAGTGATGACTTTTTTCTTCATCTTCGCTCTGTGTGGTCAGCTTTGTATTGTACTAAGAGAAAGATCTTAGAGATGTGTCCTCATTAGGGATTTGTGTTGGTGTGTGTGGTTGTAGCCTCAGGTTCATATTGTTAAATAGTGATCATGAAACGGTGTTTCAGCTATTTTACAGAGTAGCGTGAAAGTAATGCAACCTGCAGTATAATAAATTTGTTTTTCCTGGGAGTAGTTAAATAATGTACTGCATTTTAAGAAAGGCGTTCTGTGTTATATGTTTAATGATGACTTTTTTGAGTAATGACTCCAACACTGATCACACCAAAGAGGGGAAATATCTTTAACAAACATGCACAAACATTTGACCCACAGCATGCAATTAATTTGCATGAATGTAATTTCTTTATGCTGCTTACCGATGGTGGGAACTGCCAAAACTGAGCCAATGAGAAGCGATAAGAGAATTGGAATCACTGAGTTCTTATCAAGTCCAATCCTTATTGCCAACAATAAAAAAGCAGGGCGAGTTTTAAAGCAGGAGCTTCAGAGGTGCAGAGGAGATAAAATACCTGATATTCATTATTAATATCCAAAGTTTTTCTTTCTGTCCCTTCTTTCTTCCCTTGTGTTCTTCTGCTGCTGTGCATATAATCCTGGCTGTACCAAGGCTGTAAAAAAATTGGAGAAGGAGAGCAGAAGTCATAAACAATATTAGTGTGGTATATATTGGGATCCCCAATATACATTAAAACTATTGCTCAATAAGTTTAGAAAACTTGGTAAGTGAACTTTAAAATGTGCCTTTTTAACCCTAAAAAGGAGCAGTGAGAAAAGCAGGTTGCAGGTTCACCTGTGGATGCCTTTTTACACCTCTTTAGATAAGTCTTGTTGACGACCAGCATGATTTAGTCAGAGCTCAAATAAATAGTGAGTTTGAGCTTTAAAGAGGGAGCAGGATTGCACTGCTGTACCAACTAAGCATTTTAAAACAAAAGAAAAAAATCAGGAGTGTGATTACAGCACACTAAGTGTTTCATCTTTATTATTTTGTTTTGCAAAGACCATCTGAAATAAGATGCAGTTCATTAACCAGCAGTGAGGAAAAGTATGTCGAATAGAAGGTGTTCTGAGAATGAACCGTGCTGTGACAGAACTCCAAATTGACGAGTAAAATTGGAGTCGAGTTGCGTGGAGGCAGGGGGAGCGGTGATCCCCAGGACGACTTCTGTTGATTCATGAGAAACGAGAAAGTCAAAAACCCAACCGCAGACAAACCCTTTAAGATCTTATATCCTCTGTAGAAATTTCAATATCGTCACCAAGACATCAATTTAGGGAAGTGAAAGCAGCTATCGTAGCCTCTTGTGAAAAAGTGCACTTGAGGGTTTTTTTTTCCTCAGCTGTTTATGTGATTTAGCCTTAAATATGCAATTTACCTGATGATGTTGATGTTCATGAGTAATGGCAAGGCTGTCAAATGCTTGGATGAGATTCATGTTATCCAAGCATTCAAGGAAACTGGACTGCACCCATTTTCCCTCTTACTGCCCCCAGAAGCTGGTGTTGTACTAGTGTTACTGAAACCACACACCCTCTGATGCAACCATGGAGAAAATCATAATGACTGTGCATCTACAGTCATCTGGTTCCTTGTTCATTATATCACGGCTCGAGCTCGCTGTCAATGAATTCCCTGAATCAGCACCAAAAACAAACAAAAAAAGGTTACCAGGTTAAGATGAAGATGTTTTCCATGTCCCGAGGAAGGGTGAATGAGACTAAGTATTCATGCTTGATTAAGACTGTGGTCCTCATACTGTTGGTGAAACTGTGCTGTGAAAACTGAGCTCCTTCTCTATATGATTACCTCTCTGTGTGTTATATGACTGATTACAACTACATTACAATTAAAAACTGACAACATGAGTCATAAAAGTTCTTGCTCCACTTATGTGAAGAGCTTTGCCTCATTTATTGCACAGAGGCGAGCAGTTAATTTGATCATAGGCATTTTGCAAGGAAATGCAATATTGTGACACATTTAGTGATGATACACTCGCTGCTTTTTTACGTCACCTTGCTACTGCCGTCAGACCTGCCTTTACGCTGTAGTTATAAAGGGTCAACTGTGGTGTCTCAAACAATGCTCAGATGCCACAAATATCCCCCACACTATTACACCACCATCAGCAGCCTGAGCCCTTGATACAAAGCAGGATGAATCTGTGCTTTCGTGTTTACACCATCGACTGAATGTGACAGCACAAATTGAGATTCATCACACTTCTTCTGCTGCTGTAGCCCTTCTGCTTCAAGGCTCAACATCATGCTGACCGGAAGAGATGCTCTTCTGCATATTTTGGTTGTAGCGAGTCATAATTTGAGCTATTGTTCCCTTCCAATCAGATTGAAGCAGTGTAGCTGTGCTCAGTGTAAACCTAATAAAGTGGCCAGTGAATGTAAATTATTATCTCCTATGATTAGATTTCAATGAGCTGACCTTACATGCGGAGCTCTAAATGCACTGCACTTGTCTGATAGCTGCCTTTGATGTATGGAGAGAATAAGGACAACCATGAGGGGAAAATACACTCTAGTTATTTTTCTCCCTTTTAACAGTTGAACATAAACATTGTTAAAGCCGTTTCTAACTCCTGCTCTTTAATGCTCACATTGACAGAATTGTGGAGACATGTAAATGAAATGATAACAGTGGTTTCTTCCCTCCTGTATTGTTTCTGGTTTTCTTCTAAAGGGTTCCACTGCAGCGTACACCAAAAGTGGCTATTGTGTGAACCGTTTCCCCTCCCTGCTGCCTGGTGGGAACAGACACAACTCTGCTATGGGAAAAGGTAGGTGGGTCCGACTGTGTATTTGGATCTCTATAATGGGCCACTTAGGCATTTTAACAACACGAGGAAGTGATCCGCAAACAGCGGGTTCTCCCATTCACCTGTGAGTTTATTTCATTTCAGCCTCATCGAAACAGCTTCCAGGCTTTTTTTGTATGTGACAATCACAAAGCTTTTTCACATCCTTTTCAACTCCACCTATATTAGTGGGACAATCGGTACAGCTCACTACATGGAATTAGGCAAGTAGTTGACAGGCTGGAGTTTTGTGTATGAAGTACAAGTGCAGATGATTTCCATTAGATTAGACAATGTTATCATTTAAGGAAAAAAAACTATGGAATGTGAGTTTCAGATATTTCCGTTAGTTTAGGCAACACTGCATTTCTTGTGAAGAGATTTTTACTCAGATTAAAACTACCAAAGCGGAAATTACTGAGAAAACCTGATTTCAAGGGGGGCATTTACAGTAAAGAGACAAGTTTAAAAACCTGACAAAGCTGTAACAAAGAGCCCGAGCAAACAGTTCAAAGGAGAAAACCACTGCTGACCAAATATCTTTGTGATTCCCCCAAGACTTTTGGGAAAACATTCAGTGGGCTGACAGAATGAAAGTTGAACTTTTTTGAAGGTTTGAGTCCTGTTACATCTGGTGTAAAACTAACACTGGATTTCATAAAGAGAACATCAGACCAACACTCAAACATGGTGGTGGTAGTGTACTGGGGCTGCTTTGCTGCTTCAGGACTTGAACAACTTGCTGTAATTAGTGGAGTCTAAAAAATCGTTGGATTATGCAGCTGTACAATGATCCATACACCAGCAAGTCCACCTCTGACTGGCTGAATAACAAACTAAATGAAAGTTTTGGAGTGGCCTAGTCAAAGTCTGGACTTTACAGACCATTCATGCTTAAAAAACCCCAATGTGACTGAATGAAAACAATTTTGAAGAGTGAGACAAAATTATTATTATGAGTTATTGCAAACAGTTGGCTGCAGTTGTTGCACAAGCTGTTAGGATTAGGGGGTAATTACTGGGTCACAGATGGTCAGGTAGGTTGGATAACTTAAATCCCTTAATAAATGAAATAGTTATTTAAAATCTGCATTTTGTATTTATTCAGGTTATCTTTATCTGATATTATATTTTGTTTGATGATCTGAAGCATGTAAGTCTGTCAAATACGCAAAATAATCAACAAGAAATCAAGAAAAGAGTAATTACTTTTTCACAGCAGTGAATATCTGGTCCTTTGTAATATGAAGTTATACCTTCTTATTTGATTTTATTCATTGAGAATGAAGTTGTAATAAGAGTTTAAATCTTCTGTTTTTTTAATGTGTTCCATGCAGACTACACAATCTTGGACTGCATTTACAGCGAGGTGGACAGAACTTACTACATTCTGGACGTCATGTGCTGGAGAGGCCACCCGGTCTATGACTGCCCAGTAAGATTGTCTTCTAATCTTGCAGCAATCCAGGAATGCTTGTCTAATTGCATAAGTAGCAGAGTCTGGGACACAGATGTGCCTTATGTTGGGGGGGTTGTGTTGCCATGTTGTCCAGTTCATTGGCTCAGAAGGTGAAAAGCAGTTTTTTGTTTTCACTGCTTGATTTCTCGTCAACAGACCGAGTTCCGTTTCTTTTGGCTCCAGTCCAAAGTCCAGGAGACCGACAACCTATCGGAGATCACCAAACGCAACCCTGTGAGTACCAGCAACACAAATCAAAGCCTTTTTCCTTGTGCCTCCAAGTTTATTGTTTGTTAATTGGGACACTGCAACGTGTTTACACAGTCACACATTGTCTGCATTGTGTTTGTTGTGCCTTGCTGATTATTTCCACACATGGTTTTAATAAAATCTCAAACTTAAATGCGGAACTCCTCAGGCCAAGGAGAAAAAAGAAAATCAGTCCCCCAATTTTTTGTATTAAATGTGCCCTAAAGAGACACATCTTTAAGGTTGTGGATGTTTGTGGAGGCCTGAGAGAGCTTGAGTTCAAGGTCCATCTATTCATTCTTAAGTGTTTGTGTGAAACTGCCAAATCTGCTAAATCAGGTTCAGTACTTACTGAGTAGATTCGTCACTGGAAGGCAAATTCTCACATGTGACAGGAGGGCTAATTGTGTTTTGAGCTAGCAGTGTGGTTCTCTGATTTTTGTTTGGTCCCACAGTTCCGGTTTGTGGGGCTCCAGAGCACAGACTGCACAGCAGAATCAATAAAGGCAGCCCTGGCAGCAGAGTACAGCTTCAGTGTAAGAGCAGACTGTGAATTATTTATCTCCAGTTATTCTTTAAATGCAAACAGTGTTTCATGTTTGCCTTAATTCTGGTTTTCCGGTTGCAGGTGGATGGTCTCCTCTTCTACCATCGGCAGACCCACTACACCCCTGGCAGCACCCCTCTGGTCGGCTGGCTTCGCCCTTACATGGTCACTGACATCCTGGGTATAGAAGTTCCTGCAGGACCTCTCACCAAGAAGCCGGAATATGCCAGCCATCAGCTACAGCAGATCCTGGAACATAAGAAAACATCAAGTGAAGTCCGCCCGGCCAACAGAAGCGGAGGTTATGAGTTAGAGTACCTGTCCACTCCAAACCAGGGCAGTGAGGACACTCTGGACTCTTTGAAACAGACCCCAATACGAGAAGCATATATGGAGATCTGAGTGGGAGGCTTAACGAGATGCAAATTCTAAATGGTGGTGAAAGCCCATATATGGTTCTTTAGAATGTCTTCTGAATGGTTCTGCAGATCTGACCAATTACAAAGCATGGCTAATTTTAAACCGGCACTGCTCGGGACGTCCTCAGAGTGCAGATTACTGGACCTGTGCTGTAAAAAATACATTCTGACACTTACAGGCTGTACCAGCTTGAAAAGACTTTCCTCACACAGTATTTCACCACATGCATATTCCTAACATCATTCGTCTGCAGCTGCAGTTAGAATAGAATGAGAAACATGTTGGCATAAATGGCCAGAGTGCAGCACAGTGAAGGTTGTGATCTACCCTTTTTTTCACTTGAGCAGGGTCTTGCAAAAGAAGCATCTCATCCTTACTGTTGTCAGTTTATGCAGGTTTATTGCAGAATTTTTTTGGAGCAGTTCGCTCATTAGCTGAGCAAACGCTACAGAGTCTGCAAAATGAACACTCAGCAATTTGGAAGGCGCGGTAATGCTGACTGGTCACATCCTGTTAGTTAGTGCTTATCAGCAACAGGGACATGGGTTTTTACAATGTAATGTTGAATTTGAAATTGCTTAGGAAATGTTTTAAACTGTGTGTATTCTAAATAAATGTTTTTTTATCGGCCTGTGCTTTGCTATTCACTTTGTTACCACAGACTGCTGGATTTTTGCAGTTTTGTTAAAAGACTAAATCAGTTTGATTTGAGACATTTTGTCAAAATATTAGTGCAAGTTAAACATGACATATTTCATTGTAATATAAGTCCTTCACTGAAAAGCTGGCATCATTGATAACCTTAAAAAATATACATGCATGTTAATGTGGATACATAAAATGTGTTGTGTTTAAAAGCCCTAGGCAGACAGTTCAGACTTGATTGCTCTGTCAGTATAGGTGTTGAGTAGGTGATGTTTCAGTGTATGACTCGTAATAATGAGAGAGCACTCATTAGCAGAATTCATGAGCATCTCCTGTGAGCTGAGCCACATTTGGCTTACTGAGCCATTTGCGTAACCGTGAAGAGGAGGGTGGAAACTGTCAACAGGAAAAGACGTGAAAGTGTCTGTTGGGGTTATGTTTCAGCAACCTGTGCCAGCACATCCTCTGAGCAGGCACGCCACAGACGATTGCCTGAGGTTACCACATCTAGGCTGTCTGATGTTTATAGTGTCTTTCCAAGAAAGAATACCTTTCACCCTTTGCTCCCATAATATTTTTTTAAGTACCTCGATTCTGTTTTCAATTATTCGTCTATAATTTCTCTGTAAATTAAATTTAAGGTTGCTTAATTAGTAGTCATCCAAAGTCATGATTCAGTGAGGGTGGAGCTTGTATACTTTAGTAATGCCCTGACCTTTTCTCTGTTTCCACCAGCAAAAAAAAAGACTTAGCCCATGAAATACTGCTACACTTCCTTGATGGGCAGATCATTTTTCATAGACTGTAACCATCTCCAAGTTGTGGTTTCTAAACACACAGCCGTTCTGCTGACTGTTACTATAGGCCTACATTAATGTTCATATTTTGGGTAAAATGTTTAAACGAAAAATGTAAACTCTATTATTATTTAATCTTTTTTTGGCTGCTTCTTTTAGGGGGAGATCTGCTGTGGCAACCTCTATCTCCAGCCTCCTTTTCTGACATACCGACCCTTCGCATGTCCTGCTTTACTACCTACATGAATCGTCTCTGTGGTCAACTCTTCAACTCAGCTCGGCCTTCTGTTTTTTCTTTTTTTTTTGTCAGTTTGTGTCCAAACCACACATCATAACAAGTTTCGTTACCCCTTTGTAAACCTTTCCTTTCACTGTATCCTCCTGTCAAAAATCACCCCTGACACTCGTCTACACCCACCACATCCTGCCTGCACTCTTTTCCTCATGTCTTCACTTCACCACTTCATCCTCTTTGTAGCTGCCCTCACGTTTTCATTCACTAATCCTCTACACTTTATGATATACTAACTGTCCTCCATCCGTCTTTCTCAGACTCTCATTTTCTACACTTATCGGTTCCTCAAAGTACTCCATCTTCCCAACACAGTAACTTCACTTGTTAGCAAATTTCAGTTTCTGTCCTTAAACTACTCTAGCCTTCTTGCCCGTCCTTTTCAACTCGATCTCTCGACCCGGCCTTTAGTGTCCAGTCTCATGTTCAGTGCTGTGAAAAATCAATTTGCCTCACTTCCCGCTTTCTTTTTTCCATATTTGTCGCACTTACATGCTTCGGATCAAAGAACATCAAATAAATGTTAATATTAGACAAAGATAACCTGGCAAGTCATCCAGGTCCTGAAGCAGCAAAGCGGACCCAAATCATCACACTACCACTACTATGCTTGACTCTTGGTTTGATGTTCTTTTTATCAAATGCTATTAATTATATGTCAATTGTAAACAGGACTCAAGCCTCCAAAAATGTCTTCATTTTTGATTTTGGCCAAGTATTTTCATTGGATGCCCTTCCTGATGCAACACTGAGACATGAAAAATGGTCCTGTGCCATATGTTTCTACCCAGAGCTCTTCCTTTTCAAGGTCCTGTGTTACTATAGATGTTCTAAAAGTTCTACCATCCTGTGTTACCCAGCCTGAAAAACATAACCTGAAAAAGATGTCCTGCAGCTCTGTATTGGCATAGTGATGTGGGTTGACCCAAATAATGGGAGAGATGATGCATGATAAGTGAGCGTTAAACTGGAGGGGGACAGGATACTGGGGCATAAAACTTTGGTAACAAAAATAGACTTTGAAACAGGGCATGCTAATCTTTTTTTTTTTTTTAAACAGCATGTTATAGTTTTGTTTTTTTGAATTATCTTATAAAAATGGCACTTTTAGATCCACCCTCTGATGCCTCCATAGACCAGCATAACTGTCATGTATTTGTATCAACACTCACATTTTCTATACCTGGAAAAAGAACATAATTTTCTCCTTGTCTTGCTCTTACAGTGGTATCACTATTGTTCTCGCCACCTACGTGGAACATTGACAGGTGAAAACAACACGTTTCAACACTTTAGACTGATTCTGGGAAACGTAGATCACCAAGTGTACAATGCAGCTGAAAGAAGTTCAGCATACCACATTTACACACGATAAGTCCTGGAAAGCATGATGTGGTTTGTGACGATGAATCAGTTAATTTTTTTTTTCTTTAATGAACCATAATTTGGAAAATCTGCAAAAAAGCAACATTTCTGCAAGTGTTTGCAGAGTTAATTCCCCAGTTTTCTTGCATCTGTGGTTAAAGGTTTCTGCAAAAATCTAAAGAATACGCCTTGTGTAATCCAGAGCAAATTGACAAATGCAGTTCATCGAGTACAGTCAGATACTTCCTCTTTCACCTCTGTACTGAGAGACATGTCAAACAGAGCAAAGCGAGATGTGTGGTTACTGCAAGAATTCCGATATGACTCAGCAGTACTTTCCAGGAACCGAGCACCTGCCAATTCACAGATACACTTTTCATAGTGCTGTCAGTCTTCCCCCCACACTCACACACACACCACACACACACACACACACAAATGCTCTGATCTTTACGAAAACCTTGTTACAAGACGTTTAAGGAGTGAAGCAGATTTGTGTTTCTTCTGCACATCTCTCTCTCTCTGTGCACATCTGACAGTATTATCAGTGAGAGCAAACTTCATCTGTATGCCACGTTAGTAAAAGAGTGTAAACTGCTCTTCAGGTCATTAAATCTCCTCAGTTCGCACGCATAGCACTAACATCATACAGCTTCATGCAGCACTGGGTTCACAGACTTTGGCTAAGTGTGTTTGTGTGTTTGCGAAATCCATTTAGCACCCATTTTAGACTTGATGTATAAAGCCTGAAGTGTCATTAACCCGCATTACGTAAAACAACTTCAATCTTGTAGCGAACTGATTTTTTTTTTGGCAACAATTGTAGAGAACCTCATCTTCCTCTCTAGCTTTTATTGATGTTTTCAACTCTTGAAATCTTCATTTGTCACAGGTTTACTGCGTCCTTTTTTTTTTCTCCTTTTAGTCAGATTGACACTATGAGGGGGAAGAGCTAAAGGTTTACCAATCACATTTTCCCAAAGGATGATGTCAGCTGGTTTCACAGGAAGTCTATTGTTGTCCACTCCCTTTTCCCTTTGGTTTTCAAGCCAGACTTTCTCACGCTTCAATATTTAAGGTTTGCTTATTGTGGGGGGAATAATCGTGCATTTTAGTGTTCCTATATTTGATGGCCTACAGAAGCACGTTGACAAACACTGCCATCTTTCCTTCCTTCTCTATCTACCTATGTTGAGATAAGCCCGGCCTCTCACTTTGTTTTGCATCATTTTACCTTTGCAGTCTCGTTAAAACACCCAAAGGCGTGAAATGATTGCCTTCAATAGCTTTGTGGTATATGCAATCTCCTGGCTGCGCTCGAAATAACCTCCCTGCTGAACTATATGAGCAGCCCATAATATTCCAAGGGAGACCTGTATTGTGTCTGTGGCTCATGTTACAGTGACTTTATCGTGCTCTTGGGCATTTTCTAATTCTTATGATGTCATGCATTTCCTGTAAACTCTACTAGATTATAATGTAGCAAGGAGGAAGCAAGAGTTGAGAGTTTGACTAATTAAACTGCTATAAGTGCAACCAACTATTATGGATGGGCCTGCTCATATTATTATTTGTGTCTTCCCACTTTATGTAATGCATTAATAATGCGAACTGCTGGTTTGGGGAGTGCAGCTGTGCTGTAGACTCAAAGCTGATGAAAAATGTGCACAAAGCTGCACACTATGAATGCAGATTACAGTGGCTGAAAATTACAATAACATTGTGCTTCAGATTGCATGTACCTTTAAGAAAGTTGCAATGCACAGCTTGACAACCTCAACAAACACCATGACATTGCTGTTAGTCCTACCTATGGTGCTTACTGGCTAATGGTGATTCTGGTGTTCATTGGATTAATTGTGTTTTTAACTGAGAAAAAGCTGTTTGAGGTCGCAGTGCCAGCTCAATGGCGGAAAGAATAAAAGGAATGTTAACCCTTCATTAATAGGATTTAAAGTTGGAAAAAGCTTGGAGTCCAACAAACAAATTAGCTGCAGCACTGTGCAAAAGTCTTGAGCCACCTCTTATTTCTTTATATTTTGCAAGAAAAATGGGGAATAGGTGGAGCAGTTTATTGAATTATGTGCAAACATCCATGGAATACTAGGAATTTATAAAGTATATAAAGTAAGTACAATTCTAACAAGCTTGAGGGTCAATATTTGGTATGGCCACCTTTATCCTCAACACAGCTTAAACTCTCTGAGGCAGCTTTCTTGTCATTTCTTTAAGTATGTTCAGGAATAGTTCTCCAGGCTCCTTGACGGACATTCAAAGCTCTTCTTTGGATATTGGCTGTCTGTTGTTCTGTTTTCTGTTAAGATCATCACACACTGCTTCAATAATGTTGTGGTCGAGGCTCTGGGGAGGCCAATCCATGATGGCATTCCATTCTTTTGTGCGTTTGTTTTTTAATATCCAGATATGTTTTTACAGTGTGTTTGGGATCGTTTTCATGTTGAAAAATGAAGCTGATGCCAATCATATGGTTTCCAGATGGTACTGCAATCTGACAGTACTGTTCTGAGTTT